GAGACGACACGGTAAACCCTAAACCCTAAACCCTAAACCCTAGCCGCCTGTTGCTGCTTTAAATGGGCTTTAAGCGGCTCTTTTTGCTGCTGGAGACGACACGGTAAACCCTAAACCCTAAACCCTAAACCCTAGCCGCCTGTTGCTGCTTTTAATGGGCTTTAAACGGCTCTTTTTGCTGCTGGAAACGACACAGTAAACCCTAAACCCTAAACCCTAAACCCCAGCAGCGGAAGCTAGCCTAAAGCAGCCGCTTCTCCAAACGCCGACTTTAGGGTTTAGGGTTTAGGGTTTAGGGTTTAGGGTTCAGGGTTAGCGGCTCAAGGGTTTACAGCCCACGCCCAGGAGCTCGCCGGGCCGCGGGCCCGACTCCAGGGCCCAGAACGTAGGGTTTAGGGTTTAGGGTTTAGGGTTTAGGGTTTAGGGTTTGCGAAAAGGTGGTTCGGGAGTGGAGTCTGGAAACTGGAAGTCTTTCTGCGGCTCTGAGTGGCCACAGCGACAGCGTGAGGTGTCTAGACACCTCAGAAACCCTCGAGGGTTTAGTGTTTTCGGGTTCTTACGATTCCACGGCGCGTTTGTGGGATGTTCGCCACCAGGTAAACCCTAAACCCTAAACCCTAAACCCTAAACCCTAAACCCTAGGGAGTGGGGCTGCTTTGCGCCGGGGCCGGACGCGCGGGGTCCAGGTCGCGCCGTTAGGGTTTAGGGTTTAGGGTTTAGGGTTTAGGGTTTAGGGTTTAGGGTTTAGGGTTTGCGCAGGCCGCGGCTGCGGCGCAGAGGCGCCTTGTGCTCCAGCTGGCGTCGCCGCTCCGCGCACTGTTCCTAGGGTCGAGGGTTTAGGGTTTAGAGTTTAGGGTTTAGGGTTTAGGGTTTAGGGTTTAGGGTTTGTGGCTGCAGAAGTGCTGCCTCTTGCTGCCGCAAGGAGACCCCACAGAAAGTGTTCGCCTCATAGACGGCTCGGCGACGCTGCAGCTGCTGACTGCTGCTGGAACTCAAGTAAACCCTAAACCCTAAACCCTAAACCCTAAACCCTAAGCCCTGGGCGTCAAGCTGGCGAGGCCCTCAGACTTGTGCGTGGGCAGCTGCCGAGGGTTTTGGCGGGGTTTCAGGCGCTGGGCGGGGCTCTCGGCGGCTGCTGCTAGGGTTTAGGGTTTAGGGTTTAGGGTTTAGGGTTTAGGGTTTAGGGTTTGGGTTCAGGTCCGGCTGTGGGACGTGCGGCAGCCGGCGGCCCCCCTGTGGAGCCTCAGCAGCTTCGCAAAGACAGTGACTGTTGTCCGCGAGTTTCCTGCTGCTGCTGCTGCTGTTGTTGCTGCTGCTGCTGCAGCAGCAACGCCTGCAGCAGCAGCAGCAGCAGCAGCGCCAACGCAGGAGGGGCAAAAGCTGCTGCTTGCCGCCGCGTCCTTAGACAATGTTGTTCGCATCTTCTCTTTCGAAGTAAACCCTAAACCCTAAACCCTAAACCCTAAACCCTTGAGCAGCCGGCAGCAGCAGCTGCTTCGCGGCGCCACAGCGCGAGGGCTCGCGGCTTAGGGTTTAGGGTTTAGGGTTTAGGGTTTAGGGTTTATGCTCAGACGCTGCAGCTGCTGCAGTCCTTCAGCGTGCGAAGTGAGCTCCTCTGCCTGGACGCTGTGAGTGGCTACAGCAGCAACAGCAGCAGCAGCAGCAGCAGCAGCAGCAGCAGCAGCAGCAGCAGCAGCAAGCGGTTCAGCAGCAGCAAAAAGAGAAGCAGCAGCATTCAAAGCCGCATCTTAGTGGGCCTCTCAGATGGCTGCTGGCAGCTGCGGCGGATTGCGGGGGGCCCCACATCTGGGACGGAGCTGCTGCTGCTGCAGCAGCAGCAGCAGCAGCAGCAGCAGCAGCAGCAGCGCAAGCGGCTGCTGCACATGAGGGCGTCCGACGGCGGCTACTTCAAAAGAGGGCGAACGGCTCCCCCAGAAGCTGGAGACCAAATTGTAGGGTTTAGGGTTTAGGGTTTAGGGTTTAGGGTTTAGGGTTTGAGGTCTAGGGTTTCGAGAAACTGAGCTCTGTGCTGCTGCTGCTGCTGCTGCTGCTGTCGGGACTCCCATTTGCTGCTTCAGTGGCTGCTGTTGCATTCGCTACACTTGCAGCTGCTACTGCGCCGGTCCCTCCGCTCCTGCTGCTGCTGCTGCTGCTGCACCTGCTGCTGCTGCTGCTGCACCTGCTGCTGCTGCTGCTGCACCTGCTGCTGCTGCTGCTGCTGCTGCTGCTGCTGCAGGTGGACAGCCTGCAGAGCCGCCGGCTGTCGCGGCTCGACGGCCTCTTGAAGAGCTTTCAGTACATGGCGGCGATGGACTTGGCGCTGACGACCTCGTAAACCCTAAACCCTAAACCCTAAACCCTAAACCCTAGGCACTGCGGCTAAACCCTAAACCCTAGACTGGGGAGTTTGCGCCTCTCTCTAGAAACGGCTTCGCCAGCAGGCGCAGCCTGTGGGGTGCCTCGAGCTGCTGCTGCTGCTGCGCCCAGCAGGGCTCAGGGTTTAGGGTTTAGGGTTTAGGGTTTAGGGTTTAGGGTTTGTGGTTTGGCAGGCCGGACCACGTGTTGGCGCTGTGCGGGGAGCTGATTCAGCGCGGGGGTTTGGAAAGCTCTTTGCGGGGTTTAGGGTTTGCTGCTGTGGCGCTGCTGCTGCAGTTTGCTGCAGCAAATATAGCCTTTAAGGGGCAGCAGCAAACTCGCTGCTGCTTGCTGCTGCTGCAGTCGCTGCTGCACACCAAAGAGCAGTGGCTGCTGGCCCACGCGCAAACCGCCGCAGAACTCAAACCCCTCATTGCCAAGATTTGCCAGGTGCGAGGGTTTAGGGTTTAGGGTTTAGGGTTTAGGGTTTGGGGCTTGGGGTTTGGGGTTTGGGGTTTGGGGTTTGGGGTTGGGAGGTCGCCGCGCGCCGAAGGAGCGGCGGGGCTTTGAACGGAGGGTTTAGGGTTTAGGGCTAGGGTTTGGGGTTTAGGGTTTAGGGTTTAGGGTTTAGGGTTTAGGGTTTGTTGTTTCTGCAGCGAGTGGCCTTCGAGTTGGAGCAAATTCGAAGGCTAGCCCGCACCGAGGCCCTCGTGGACGCCCTACTGGCCATTTAGGGTTTAGGGTTTAGGGTTTAGGGTTTAGGGTTTGGGGTTTAGGGATTGGGGTTTAAAGGCCCT